CAGCTTTACTTAATGAGTGAGCTATGGTTTCATTAGTAAAACTTTTAGTGATCTTGGGCAAAATTAGTTAATTCCGGTCCTGCAGATCATGATTCCGAAGTATTCCGACTCGGAATTTTGGGGATCTCCCTGTATGAGTTTCATACTTAGGTATAGAGGCCTGCATTGGGTCCCGCAGCCCGGCCTGAAGCAAAATTTTATAATTGCGGGCCGGGACGGGCCGAAAAATTTGCAAAACTTTATAATTGCGGGCCAGTACGGGCCTAAAATTTTGTGAAATTATATAAGAAATTTTTGCGGGCTGGGCCGGGCTAAAGAAAAAATTTAATACATGCGGGCCTGGCCGGGCCGGCAAAAAAATGTTAACTCGAAATGCGGGCCGGACCGGGCCAGAAAAAAAATTTAACCCTAAATGCGGGCCGGGCCGGGCCTCAAAAATAGGCAATTTGCAGGCCTCTACTTCGGTATACTATTTTGTACTACCAATCCTTATGCGACTGATCTTGCATAATTACATAATTACAGAATTTCCCGATCCCGATCGATCATCACGTGATGATTCGATCGCTTCGAATATACCTTACTTAAAAACGAAGACAAGTATTTCATGTACCTCTTTTTATTTATTTATTTATTTAATCGAATCAGTCACAATGTTCCGGGGAATATGTCAATACCACGAACTAAGTACACTGCATACGATTTTCCACCATAACATTATAAACTATAATTTTATAGCTCCTTAAGAAAAAAATTGAAAAATTCGTTTATATGCTTGCAAAAAAACAAAAAGTTAAATTGATATAAGGTACTAAAAAAAAAAAAAGAAAAAAGAAGATATGGCTTTTTTTTCAATTAAGAATGGTTACATTTATTAACTTTAGGTCGTAATATCACCTGTGCTTTAGCAAGTACCCTGTCATAAATATTACTATTATTCACCATAATTGCTACCGCTGGAAAAGCACAAAATTCAACATCAGATTCCTCTGAATCCTCCAAAGCAATGTTTTCCATGCTCATACCATCGAAGGCCTCACCACTCTCATAAAAAATAAATTCTGGAGGTTGTTCTTGAGTGTATATACGAAAGTAAAACAAATTCATAATTTGCTTAACTATATATTTTGCTTTCGACGATAATTGGTCCTTTTTTTCTTTTGATTCTATTGTTCTGTATCTATCCATTAATTCCAAGAGTTCTTTGACAATTCTTTGAATGAGTGGATGATCTGGATTGGTAAATCCCCTATAACCTAAAGCAGCATAAATTTGTTGACGTATCTTTATTGGAAGAACACGCGTATGCATGTCGTCTCCCGGGTTAATTTTTGAAAAATGACTAGTTAAGCTAATCAAGTCTTCTGTTCTTTTGATGATATTGGCTTCAAGCAAATCATCCGGTATATTACCAGGTTGGTCTATTGAAGGATTTTCAAAATAATGTTTTATTTCGTCATAAATAAATTCAAATACATGTCTTTGTAAGACTGCAGAAAGAATTGGTTTCATTCCTGGGTCATCAGAAGTTATCGAACGTTTATATTCTTTAAACAACTCATTGACCGCTTGTGCATGAATTTTTATTTTAGATCCTTTTACTCCAGTGAAACTAAATAATTCACGTTGAAGATGTTTGAATCCATCTACTAAATAACAAGGATTATTAGGATCATCATCTTTCCATGAGAAATTTGTGGCATCCCCTAATGCAGCTTGATATTTTGCTGCTTCGCTTCTTGAATGTTCTATTTCTTGACGCAGACGTTCTATCTCTTGACGCAAACTTTTTATATCGTCTTGTGATGTTTTGTCCAAAGGTAATTTGTTTGATTGTTTCTTGACCTGATGTTTCCATGGTTTGTCTTTTTCACTTTTAGGTTTATTGGCCAATTCTTTGTTTTTTGTTTCTAAAACCATTATCTGTTCTGATTTATTATTTTGTGCATCTTGCATACTCGGGTAGCGTCCATAAGACATAAAATCAATACGGGGCATAAATTTATATGAAGAAATATAGTCTGCAATTTGTAAATAAGTATGGGATTGAATCCCAAGAGTACATATCCAACGTAATAAATGTTTTTGTGACAGATTCATCTTAGATAGACCTTCTTGAATGGAATTTGGTAAACTATTCTGGTGAAGGTAATGAATAATCTTATTAATCACGTTATGTCGCAATTGAGTATCCCTTGATTCTATACTTTGAATATATTGTGCAAGATAATCATGTTCCTTATTAACAGGCCCACAGTGAAAATGTATATTTTTTATTGCATTTTGAACGAGATATGATTCAAAATAAAACTCTTCAGGTGTATTAAAAAGATCTGGGTCACTATCCCATACGACAAGAAATAGACAAATGTAACTATTTAAACTTCTATCTAAACTTCCATCCAAATTTTTTATCTTTCCAAAAAATTGAAAAATTTCGGTTGAATTAGCGGGAGGTTTGTGTGAATATGTTTGATAGTATATATTATACTGTGTCTCCATTTTTTTCAAAATCAAAAAAAGTTTTTTTTTTAAAAAAGAAATCTATAACAAAACACTAAAACACTTTTAATTTTTTTTAAAGACACTTTATGATGAAATCTTATTTAAAAGGGGGTTTTTTTTTAAAGACACTGTAATGAAACACTTTAAAAAACGTTTTTATACGAAAAACGTCAAGGAAAAGTTTTATTTTAAAGTTACTGTAACGAAACACTTTCAGGTCACATTTTCTTGTCATTGTAGATGCTTATGGTAAATGTGATAAATTCGATTTTAAGCTAACACCTTTAAATATACGTGTATAGTTATTTATCTAAAAAAATCTATCAAGATTTAGTTCAGGTTTTTTTTTCACTAAATCCGGATAAATTCCTCAGCATAGCATACATGGTTAATATTACGATTATATATCGATATATTCAGGGTTGGCACACCGGTCAATGGTCAATCTTGACCAGACCAATTTGACCGGTCTGATCCAAGAGTTTAACACTGATTAAATTGGTCAAATTGTAATTAATAAGCCAGATCATTTGATTAATTTGACCAAACCCAGTTTGACTAGAGACTCTTCGACCATAGACAAGCAAATTTTTGGTTGGTTAATGATTTGACCAACCCTGAATATACTATAATTTAGACTTGATTTACATACGTAGTTACGTAATGTAATCCTAATTATTATACGTATATGATATTCGTATCAAAATTGATACTGTATAAATGCTACGTATCCGTTGTGTTTCTTTTACGCACATAAATGTCAATTACCAGTTTAGAATGAAGGACATTTCTATTATTTTAGAAGTTAGCGTTAGTGCATCGGGTGGGAACAATTTAATGTCTGTGTATCACAAAATGATAGTCATTTTCCTTAATAATAAAACCACATAATAAATAACGCCATATGAGTTTACCCGGTGAAAGGTTACTTTTGGAAATTGATTTCGATATATGCTTACGATACCGATACTTAATATAATAACAAGTTTTTTTTATATGCAATTAAAAACAGATTCAAATGATAATACTTGCAAGCAGTAAAGAATTAATTCTAATAATTTCTAATAATTTCATTACTTAATTTTCATGTCTAAAGCTATGAATTATAACCTAACGCAAGTAAAACATTAGAAGTGCTAAAGTACATGCTCGATTTACACTAATATTGAAGATCCTCTATTAGACAATCAATTTGCGAAAGGCTTAGTATAAAACAGTTTCTAAATTAAATGTTAAATATTAAAATGTATTATGTTACTAATAAAATTAAGGATCATTTTGTTGTTTATTAAATTACTTGCCTGATAATAACGATTGATCTTATTCAAAGCTAATTCAAATTCTTGTTGATTAGCCCAAGGTTCCCATGGATTGAACTCTTTACTGCTCAAAAGGCAACCATTTGAATTAATACAATTCTTTTTAACACTATAATTCTTACTATATCTGACAACAGTAGTTGAGGGTTCATCAGACTCGATTCCCCACGCGTGTTGTACATTTTTCTTAAAAGAATGATCCGCGTAATACCCATTTTTGTAAATTGTATCTTGTTCAATGTTTTCCTTTTTATTCAGAGGGTGACTGGATACAGAATGTTCAACGATGGTATCACCGGATTTGACGTTCATTTCATTTCTTTCATTGTGATCCAAACATCGTTGAACTTTCACATTAGTTGTATCTTGAGTTTTACTGTTATTATATTTCCAAGACATCTATAATTGTAAGAGTTTGTAGGTATCATTCATACTGAAAATGTAAACAAATTTTTTTTTAGTCTTACCTGATTTTGCACGTCAACTTTTACTTTTCCTGTAAGTAAAATGTTTTTAACTCGGTTAAGATTACCCCCGTTAATATTATGATCAAAATAAATATGTTGGTATTCATGAGAAGGGATGTATTGATTTTCAAATTTGTAAGGTGGACCTATTTCAGATTTCTGCGCAAATAGCACAGTCAAGACAAAATATCAACATGATCATTGAGATCAGAAATAATGATAAATAAACGATAAAAGAATTTTGTTTGTTTTTTTTACTTGATCTCTTAGTTCACCTTTGATTCTTTTAGGAAACGAAAACTCTTGTACATTTTCACCATTTTCACATCTAGGACGTTTTCGTTCTTTGGAAATGTTTCTTTGCACACGTGTCCAAACTTTATTTTTATATAAAGGCCGATGTACTTTATTACCTATTCGATACACGAATTAAATATACCTACAGTATTATAAATTAAATCGATAAATGGTTCAATTAAATCTTACTTTGATTATTTTCACCGCGAATCATTATGGATCTGTTCCCTTTCCTATATTACAAGAATATCGAGTTCGATCAAAAACAACGTCAATTTATTTAAATTTTTTTTTTTCAACACTTGTTTTTTTGAATCGAAAATTTTACCGGTTCAATTGATTTTTGTATATCCATTTTGGTTCAAACATTTTTTTTTTGCAGCAAAAAAGATAAAAGTTATTTGAGAAACGTTTTTTAAAAAAAGGTGAGAAATATTAAATCTTTTGGATCAGTTGAAGACTTTTTATGTTTATTTTTTGACATCACATTGATTAAGAATACATCATGAAGATTTCTGAGTCTGGAATTTACACATGAGTTTCGTTTCCAAAATACTGTATTTTTTCACGTGATATTCAAAATAACTATCGCATATATAGATACGTATGTTCGTGACGAAATGTTATTTTATTTAATATATATATATATAGACATGAAATTTAATTTAACAATTTAGGTTACAGGCTAAAATACTGACATACAAAATCTCGACAGGGTCATAACAATAGCTCTGGTCAATTTTTGTTGGGATTCTGTTTGTCAGGACTTCAGCCTGTGACCAGTAATTTAAAAAATATACATTTGAAAAAATATATTTATAACCCGGCTCGCTTTTGGTTCATTGGGCTCCAAGTCTAGTGAGCCAAAAATGAGCCGGACTATAATTCATGTTAGCCTATTTAAGTTAGCTTACTGCGGAACACTAAAAAATGGTTGATTTAAACTTTTGGCCGTGTCATTACTTGAGCTTTAGTCAATATTCTTTTTTCACTATCGATTAATAAAATTGCTGGAAATGAGCAAATTTCAACTTCCAAATCCTTAGCATCATCACCTTGCCAACTACCATCCATAACTTCAACATCAATAGGATCACCAACATTATAAAATTCAACCTTGGGTGTTGGCTCTTGGGTTTCTAATCGAAAACAAAATATCTTTAAAACTTGTTTAATGATTGAAGTCGCTTTTGAAGCAAGTTTACTTTTGTCTTTTGATTCTATTGTTCTGTATTGATCCATTTTTTTTATCAGAGATTCAAGTATTTGTTGAACAAGTTGATGGTTTTGATTATCGAATCCTCTATTGGAAAGTGCAGCATAAATATGTTGACGTAACTTTATTGGAAGAACACGTGTGTGTTCATCATCCCCTGGATTAAATGTTGAAAAACGTGATATCAATGGGAATAATGCTTGTGCCCGAGAAGCAATGCCTGCCTCAAGTTGGTCGTCTGTTAAAAAACTTGTATTGTCGATTCTTCTACTAAAATCGTCAGAGAGTTCGTTGATATGTTCAAGAATAAATCTTTGTAGGACAGCGGACAAAACAACTTTCATTGCTTTATCGTCAAATTTTGTTGAACATTTGTATCTATTGAAGAGTTCAGAAACAGCTACTTGATTGATTTGTATGTTGGTTCCTTTAACTCTGGTGAAGGATTGTAAATCACGTTGAAGTTTTTCAATATCTTTAACTAACTGCATGGAGTTATTAGGATCATCATCACGCCATTTAAAATTCACAACATTACCCAATGCTGCTTGGTGTCTTGCTGCTTCGAGCTTCAATCTTTTATTTTCTTCTAAGAGTTTTGCTGTTTCATTACTTATATTGGATATTTGACTGCAAGAATTTTCGATTTGACGACTCGATTGTCTAGATTCGTCATATCTTTGTTCTATTGAAATATTTCGTGCTGTTTCAAGTTCTTCCGAGAATTGCTGAACTCGATTATCTTTGGAATAACTAATGATGTATTCCGCAAATTCTGAGAACGATCGAAGTCTATTAATGCAAATTTCACGCAATACTGATCTTTGTTCAACAGTCAAATTTCGTAATTGCTCAAGGAATTTTGTATGATCTTTTACAGAATGAGGGCGAAGTTCAAAACCCACCTTTTCTACCAATTGTTCCATTTGTTTTTGATTATGGTTTACTCGTAAATTTTGGTAATCGTCAAGAGTTTCTTTAATTAATTTAAACATTTGCGGACTAGCACCACTATATTGGTTTATTTTGTCAATTGACATTCGAATTTCTTCTAATTCATCCACAACTTTTGAGTCTTTGTTGTCAGGTTGGTAATCTGCATTGCAAACCATTATAAATAAATAGGGATAGCCATTCCATCTTGGTATTGACGCAAAAATTCTAAAAAGTTTAGTTAAATTATTGTCACGATCATTTACAATGGTTTCACGACGAGGACCGAGAGGGTATACATAATTTCTAGAGCCTCCATGACTTCCATAACCTCTATGACTTCCATAACCTCCATGACTTCTATAATCTCCATGATTTCCATGCCATCCATGACCTTCACGGCATACGTAATTCCGATACGGATGCGGATGATGTCGGCTCATTTTAGAAGAATGAACTTGCGAAAAAAAAAAATCTTAAAGAACCTATTATTTTTACTTTATATATCGATACGCACAGCCCCGAATTTCGGAAAATCATCTGCCTACCGTAGTTAGCATAAAAATTTGTCATTGTTCACTTTTTCGTTGTGAGAATTTTTAACGGTTTACCCGCGATAGACGATCAAACCTTTTAATTAAGGAAGTTGATTGAATCTGAAAGTAGTCTCCAGTGAAACCATATAAGCTCTTATCAATGAAAAGTTGAAATCCAAGAATAAAACAGGAATAATATGAAATCTTTAAAGTTAATTACTTGTTGTACGACCCTTCGACACATCACAAGGTTTTTTAACTATAAATTTAAGCCACTGTGTTTTTCCACTATCAAATTTAATTGTCTGTCATGAAGACTTCATATCGTCAACGATTTTCTCAATCGTATTCTTCTCCATATACTTCCCCGTCAGAAGATATAAGAGCCGTAGTTGCAATTGGTATTTTACAGATATTAATTTGATATTTTATTGGATTTATTAATTAAAGTGACATTTAAGCCGATCTTCTGTTATGAAAAGATTTTGGGACGACATACAGCGGCTTCGCTTATGCAAACAAGGTTTCTCCCAGAGAAATTGAGATAAATTCACGATGGTAATCTTAAAATCATCACAGATAAATCACATAAAATTTACTTTTGAAACAGTTATAAATTAAATAACATTTATCGTATTTAGGTCAGGGAGGGAAGGACTTCCAAAAACAAATACTGTATTGTTATACGATAGTACTTGTACTGAAGTCTTGAAATGGGGCGAACCCGCGTTAGTTCATGAGCCAAGGAGAAATAGAAATAATGTTAGGGAATTGGGTTCACCACTTCCACCGCAACAACATGTTGCTGAAAAATTCAAATTACACCTAGACGAAAATGCCGAGAGGTTATTTTTACCGCCAAATTTAGATTATAGAAAGGCTATTTCTGATTATCTAAGAAAAATGAAAGGAGTGAGTACTTATAAGCTTAAATTAAGCTCACTTGAATATTGATCTTTTACGATTAAAAAATGTAGGTTATAGAAGAAACGCTTGATAAGCGTTGGCCAGGCCTTAAATTATCACAAGTATTATTTGTTTTATGTGTACCTGCGGAATGGGTAAGTTACTAACTTGATAAAGGTTCAGGAAGCAAGCGAGCTATTAATAACACATGATCTCTTCGATTTTATTATTAGAAACCGCATACTAAAGCTATAATGCGCGACTGCGCATACAAAGCTGGATTGTAATTAAATAAATTTTATCTTAGTTGTGAATTTAATTATAATTTGTAACCTTGTTTATCGTTTACAATGATTACAGGTTAAACGACACCATTGAATCACACTTGGAGTTTACAACAGAACGTAATTATCTTTATTTTGTACTACTTTTACTTCTTGCTTAGCAATGAGGCACATTTATTGGTTCTCTTTATCCTATAACGACAGCGGAAGCAGCAGCACTTCATTGCTTATCAGTTATTGAGGAGCACAACTTAATTGAAGGAGGTTAGTATTCAAAATTGTATTTAAACTTAAAATCAAATTCCTCAATATAATTAGGCATTATTTCCCGTTTTGTAATTTTGAGTGGTCTTTGCTTATTTCTGCGTGATACAAAGATCGAATGTAACATACGTACACTTATTTCTGCAAGTGATACAAACCCAAATAAGGAAAATTTTCTATGTAGATCGCAAGATCATGTGCAATTTTGGTGTAATGTGCATACGGGCTAAAAATTTTTTATAGTTTAAAAACTCACTAAAAAGATTGGCCAATCGGAATGCGCAATTTAGTGTAACACAATATCACGTTATCTTTCTGGGAAACATGTTTCTGTTTGTTGATTGTCTACGTTTCCGAAACTTACTGACAACAGTTCATTTGCCCGAAAATAACAACAAATAAGTATTCACTATTGGCACATGATTTGTATCACTTGCAAAAATACTTCAAGTAAATGGGCTATTTATCGTGATGTCTTTAAAGCAAAGAATCGGTTAGTCTGGAACCAATAATTAAGCAATCGACCACTGATTTACCAGTACAACGCATTAGGTTAAGATTTAGCTTCTGCTGCAACAAGAAGCATTAAGGAAATTTTTTGATAATAATTCTTTTAATATCGAATATGATAATTATTGATTTTTGTAGATACGTATCTTGTCGTTGATTGTGGTGGTGGAACAGTCGATCTCACAATGAGAACGATACAGTCGGGCAAAAAATTAAAAGAAGAAACCGAACGAACTGGAGATCTATGTGGAAGTACATATGTAGATCAAGAGTTCATAGATTTTATGGGCCGCACAGTAGGATTTACTGCCTTACAAAGGCTACGATCATATGCTTACGGTGACTTACAAAAACTTGTCCATAGGTTTTTTTGTGAGAATGTAAAGCTTCCGTTCACTGGAGATCCCGACGAATTCGAAACCATTGAATTGGATCTCGAGAGACAGTGCCCCTCATTGATTAAATATATCACAGGGGCAGAAAGAACTAATTTAGAAAATAATGAATGGATTATCGAATTAGAGTTTGAAACTGTGAAAAAAATGTTCGATCCAGTAGTCGAAAAAATCATTAAACTGATAAATGATCAGTTGCTAGATCTTAAGGAACACCGTAAATGTATGGCAATGTTTTTGGTCGGAGGTTTCAGTGAATCTCCATACTTAAGAAAACGTATCAGAGAAAGATTTCAAGAGCGTGTACCTATCATTGCGTCTCCTCGACAACCGATAGCGGCTATCGTTAAAGGCGCTGTAAAATACGGATTAGATATGAGCATTGTCGAAAGTCGAGTCTTGAAATGGACTTACGGAGTGGAAGTAAAGGCAGACTTTGACATTCGGAATGATCCACAAAGACTTCGGTAAGTTATATTATAAATCAATTCGTAATTCACAGTGATTAATGTCAGTTCTATATAATATTTTTAGAACCAATGATAATAAAATCTGGAAGTTTGATCTTCTCGCAGTTCGCGGAGCACCCGTTGCAGTCAACCAGACTTTTAGTAAAGAATATAAACCATTAGGTGCTAACCAAACAATGGCTGTATTTCAAGTATATATTACAAAGGAAACGAGACCAAGATACATTAAGGATGCCGGAATGCGGATACTTGGTACCCTAAAAATTGCTTTATCTAGAACGCCATCATTAGGACGAGAACGTCCTGTAGAATTTGGTTTGACCTTTGGTACGATGGAAATAAAAGCCACGGCTAAAAATAAAGTAACAGGTGAAATATATCATACAACTTTCGAGTTGGATGTTAAGGGTAAAAAATAACGATATTTATATTACAGTTTGGGAATTTATTTTTTTAAATTCATTTTTGTATTATTCATATAATTATTTCAAAGATCAATAAATTATTAATTTATGTCTATGAAATGAGATTTAATGCGTTCATAATAAAATTGTAATGCCACTTTCGTTATTTCGAAGCAAATAAAGGAGGATTTAATAAGACGCGTTATGTTTACGAGAATTACGCGTGTATAACGCGTACATTTCTGTTTTCATTCTATTTATTTATTCGTAACGGCTGTTACATCCTTGTTACGGGGCGGTTTGGCATTCTTTAAACAATTCGAATAGATATAACGATAAGGGAAAATGGTTGAAGGCAACTCGCCAGGGGTGTGATTATTAGTGATTAGCGTTTATGATTTGAATTTGGGATTTATTATTGTTGTGTCTATAATTTATTAATTTTATAACCCATAGGTTGTTTTTCTACAAAGGCGAAAATACAAATCTTTTATAACATTTACAACAATATCGATTAATAAATATGTTCCTAAATTTATTGGCAAATGCATTAATTAAGAGATCGGCATTGGTTCATGCATCTAATTTCTTAGAAAATCGGTATCAGAAGTAAATTTTACTCTTATGTTAGCACCTTTATAATACAATGTACTTCTATAGTGCCATTCTTATGATATATAATACATTATATCTTGCAAGTATGTTGGGACTCTACATTTTGTTGCAAACTATTTTGGTTATTGTGCTATGATGCTTCTAATTTTAAAAGAATTTTGAGTCAAAGTTGCCTAATTTTTTTATATATTTTTAGAGAACAATAATATAGAAACTTTTTTTTTAAAAAAAGAAAAAATTTATAATAAATTTATTTTTAAAAATGATATCTTAAACTATAACAATAATAATAATCTTTTCTTTTAATTTTAAATTGTGTTTTTTTTTCTTTTTTCTTTTAGTAGTATAGTAGGTTTATATAATAATAACAATAAGAGAATGATGATTCTAGTGTTGTAGTTGAGTTGTAATCCTTCAAGCAGTAGGTTCAGAGTTCAAATTTTACTAGTGACAGAATTTTGAAAAATGATTCTAGTTTAGCAACTTGAATAAGGTATTTGAAGGTTATGACTTTGTAATTTTAATTGTATTTCGGAAATGTACATTTTTATATAAATAAATTCAAAAAATATATATTAAATAAGAAGCTTTGCTTGAAAATCTTGAGCAAAGAGGTAGTATGATCTTTAATAGTATTACTTATAAAAATCTTAATCCAGAAAAAAAAAATCTAAGGCAGATGATCTGTATATACAAGAACCTTTAGATAAGAGATACCACCAAAGTCGCATTTGTGACAAACGAATTTAGTATTATAAATAAAGGCTGAAATGGCCCTTAGGAGCGATACGTTTCGTTTGCTTTATTAAATAACAAGTCCCAATACATTATATTGATAATAATTACATTACACTAAAAACCCTGTAAAATCCATAAACTTCGTTGTTCGTTCGAGTTCTTTATCACGTGACTTACCCTACTTGTCTTCGTTGACCCAAAGTAACCGAAAGCCTTAATCACCCACCAGCCAAATCTAACACCCTCTTTCGTAAAGGTTATTTGTCGTACGTTACACGAGATTTTTGATTGTGGAGCGACCGAGTCGCAGTTTTCTGAGAGCAACAATATATATACATATAGCAAACTTTGTGAGTTTATGGTATTTGATTTTGTAACCTTGTGATCTTGTTTTTTGAGCAAAAAAAGGGTTGCAAAGGTTGCAAATAATTTAATGAAAGATGCAAAGTTGAGAATTTGCAACAAGCAACACTAGTTCAGTCACAATTATGATGCAAAAAAATTTCGTTATTTCAAAATATTCCCTATACAAAATTTGTTATCTCGAGCGCGTTGACCGTACATGTTTTTATTGGTTGTATTAAGTAAGCTGTTGCATAATAGCCTGTTACAAGATTTGTTTGATTATATGGCTGGGATTAAAAAAGGGTTTTGGAGCGTTCAACTTATTGTGCATTTTAATAGACCTGAGTAATTATTATCGCGATTGATGTCGAAATTGTGCATGACAAGAAACTTAATTACTACAACCAAATTCAAACCCATATGCAAGATCAAACTGAATGAAATAATTCGCACCTACAAAATATCCGTGAACCAATACATTCAAAACAGATTTAGCAAGAATATATCGCCCTCCCAGTCATCCAATCTCATAAGAACCTTCGAAACCATTTTTTATTTCCTGGACCTTCAATTTTGATTTTCCCAGACCTTTATCGTAATGGTTAATATTTGCTTTACAATGAAAGTACAAATATAAACTATTTGATTATATATTCTTCAAACTTTTATAACCATTTTACTCAGAAATCCAAATCACAATTTCACACTTATTAAGTGTCGCGGCTGATGCTGAAATTTGGACCTATTTTGATATGAATTTTTAAAAAAATTTTGGAGTTTTTTTCCTCATTTTTTTTTTTATGGTTGAGTTAGTGTTTTAGGGTTAGAATTGATAATTAAAGAGTATACGTGGATTTTAGCAGTGCTTATATTTTCAAATCACGACCCCAAATTTCAGCATTAGCCGATTTCAGCATCTGTTTATTAAATTTTTTTTAATAGCATTTATTACAAGTCTGAATTTTTTTAGCATATATCTAAAGCTAAATCATCTAAATCATCAATGCAGGCAGCATAGGACTTAGAACAGCGAAAGATGAATTTGCACTAATAAAAAATAAAATAAAATAACTTTGTAACTAGGATTATTGCATAATAAAAATATATAGATGCAAAATACTCGCTGTGTCTAGAGTATTACAATATTATCCATTGTAATTCGGGAATCGGCGATTCGGTTGCTACTCTAATCCAACTCTCGCGTAACCTACGGCGGCTAAGTCGAAATAGGCGTGTTAGGTTTGGCTGGGTGGTTTATCCGTAGGTAAGTACTATTCTTCTCTTCTTTCTAAGTCCTTCCTTAAACCTATTCTTCTATTAACCCTTGCCTTCTCTTCTCTGCTCTTGTATGACTTAACCCGGGCTTACGATACGTCGAATTACAGTTGTTAGGCGAAACCTCTAGGTTTCGCCACTGGCGAAAGGCGAAACCTAGTTTCGACTTTCGCCAAAAAAAAATCAAAAAGACAAAATGGCGAAACTGGCGAAACCTAGCGAAACTGGCGAAACCTGGCGAAATTGGCGAAACCTGGCGAAACTAGCGAACTCTGGCGAAACTGGTGAAAACATAGCACAACAAAATTGTCCCGGCAGATT